CCTCCTTGGGACAGATGGTCGCCCTCCCGGTGATAGAACAAATTGCCGGATTCGAGGATTACCGTGCCCTCCCCCTCTCTTCGGACTTTGTAGTGTTATGCTACTTACTTATCATTTTACATTAAACCATAAGAACACAATAACAAATCATTTCTACTTCGTATTTTCACATTATCAGCACTTTTAAATTGGTGTCAATGGAGTCTACCTTTTTTCGATCTTTTAGTTAGTTTTCCGTAACTCTACAATTTCGGGCTTTGTGTGGGCAGTTGCGCTACCTTTTTTCCTATATCAGTAATATCTCATTTTCCACTTAAATCTTGCCGTTTTCTTATTACAAGCCTAAAACTAAAATTTGACATGTTTTGACATTTTTGTTTATTTGGTCTCCATAGTAGTTATATTCAAATTTGCTACCGATCTGTTGTTCCTATTTCGATAATTCCACATAAATACTCTTTTCTCTTGACCATTTACAAAAAATTTGCGTTTAATTTAAATAATTTTTCCGTTCTCTCTAGAAAGGTATAAAAGCCGAACAATCGGTGAAGAAAGGAGTCTCGCTTCAGTTCTCGAATTGGAAGCATCTCCTAAAGGCCTTATCCCGGGGCCGCACTGCCCCGGGATCCTGCAAGCCTCCACCTACACGTGAAGTCTTCGGCGAAGCCTTCTTCAAGCGCGGAGCCGCACCACTCCGGAATCCTACAAGCCTCCATCTACCTCGGAAGTCGTCGGCAGTCTACTTCAAGCGCGGGGGCCACACTACTCCGGGCGCTACGACTGCTTACTCCAGGCGCCGAGTGCACCTACCGCCGGCGCTACCTTTGGGCGCTGCAACTGCTGACTCTAAGCGTTGAGCGCACCTACTCCAGGCGTTACGTGCGCCGGCTCCGGACGCTGCGTGTGCTGGCTCCAGGCGCTGCGTGCCGTCGCTGCTAAGAAACCTACCTCTACAAGCGCAACCGGCGTGTGCTGGCTTCAGGCGCTGCGTGTCGTCGCTGCTAAGAAACCTTCCTCTACAATCGCAACGTGTGTCGCTTCGACTTTTAGGCTCCACTACAACTCTGTATTCCCCTATTCTCCTACCTTTATTTTTTTTTGTAATCTAATTGTACTCTCACTTCATTCATCATCATCCTCATTTCATTTTTTTATAAAATTGTAAATATCTTTGAATTTTAAATATATTTTTGTTTTTGTTGTATTTTTGTTGTTTTGTTGTTCTTAGGTTAGATTCTTTTTGTTCTTTATTGTCGCTTCACGACATTTGGCGCCCAACGTAAAAGTTCTCTTTCTCTTCTCTTCACCTTTACTGCGCCTTGTCCATTTCTTTTGATTTAATTGCTTCCTCTTTCGTTCTTAACTCTTTATTTATTCATCCTTTTCATACCTTCCAAATTCTAAAACAACACTTCATCTAGTGTTTCAACTTATCTGGATTATATTTAGACCTACATTTCACACATCACTTACATTCGTCACCTTAATATTTTTATTCTAGATAACCTTCCAAATTCTAAAACAACACTTCATCTAGTGTTTCAACTTATCTAGATTATATTTAGACCTACATTCAACACTTCACCTACATTCATCACTTTAATATTTTTATTCTAGATAACTTAAAGAGGTATAATTTTTAATTAAATTTTTATTTCTTAAACTTAACTTTACACATAATTATAACAATGAAAAGGGTTATTAAGTACGAATTCCTTAACAAGGCCGAACTCGAATACGAAGTGAAGATTAGATATGAGGAACCAGCTAATACTGTTTTACTTCTAAAAAAACAGGTTTTGCGTTTAGTTGCGAATTCTCACCCTGAAGATATTCTGACTTCTCCAATTCCGATTGAGGATGACTTGTCTCAAATTGATTCTACTTTAACCTACTTGGACTGTAAAATTAAAAAATTTTTACAAGGCGAAACCAAATACTTGAGACTAATAGAAACTTTTATTAATCATGTCTTTTACAGATTGGAACGAATAGATACTGACTTATATCCAGACTTTAAAGCTATTTTCGATACTTTGAAGATGAAATATGACGATATTACTAAACAATTTGAATCCTTGACTCCAGCTCCAACTGAAAATGACCCTCCTGTTGACCCGACTGTCACGGTTGACCCGACTGTCACGGAACTCCCTCTTGTTTCTCAAACTTCTATTCAGGTCCATACCCCGTATCCTCCAACACCACCTCAATCTTTTTCTCCAACCAATGTCTTCAAAGATCTGAAAAGACACACCTTCAATGGTAAAAGCTGTCCAAGATCCTTTCTTCAAAAACTGGAAGAATACTGTTTAGCTCGTGGCTTGTCCAAAGACTTGTTGATTTCACAAGCGTTTGAAATTTTCACTAACAATGCTCTTCATTGGTTCAGATTTAAATATAATCAGAATCCAAACTTAACGTGGAACGAACTTTCTTCGTTATTAATCAAAGACTTTGGTGGTTTTGATTATGATCACAAACTTTTAGAAGCGGTTAGGAATCGAACTCAAGGTCGAGATGAACCTATTGTCATCTATATTTCCATCATGTCTGGAATGTTTTCTCGTCTTTCGAAGAAACTTTCTGAAACAGAACAATTGGAGATTATTTTGAGGAATATTCGCCCATGTTATTCAGTCTTCGTAGCTCTAAAAGACATTGACTCTATCGACTCTCTTTTGGCTACTTGCCACTAACTATGAAAAATTCCTAGACAGAGACAAACAATTTAAAGAACCAAATGTACAACAAAGTCCTCTTATTTCTGAATTCAACTACAAGCATTCCAGTTGTTCAAGTTCAGTTGACTCTCCAAATTATCCTAATAACTCACGACCTTCTCCTCCCCTCATGAATAAATTCACTTCATCCTACAAATACCCTTCTAGACAAGTCTCTCTCAAACTAAAGCTCCTCAAGAAAGCTCCTTTTGTGTTCGCTGTCATAAACAAGGTCATTCTTTGAACACCTGTACTCAACCACGATTCGTGATTTGTTTCAAATGTGGTCTTAAGGGTTTTAAAACTGCAGATTGCCCTACTTGTTCTCCCAAACCTAATACTAGTTCAAAAAACTAACTACTGACTTGAAAAGTAACTTAAACTTTGATAACGACGATTGGACTAATTGGATTAAAACAATTCAAAACTTCTTTTCTTGTTACAAAATCTCTTCTACACTCTACTCCAAGGAACAAGATCTTAATCGTCCATTCGTTAATGTCAAAATTTATAACTTAACTTTATCTGGTTTACTAGATTCTGGCAGTTCAGTAACTATTCTGGGTAATAATTCTCATTTGGAAATTCTTAAACTGGGCTGCAAACTTTTCAAGTCAGATCTTATTACTGTCTCTCCTGCTAATAATCAAAAAGTTAATTCCTTGGGTTATTTTGACTTACCTGTTCATTTCAATAATCAAACTCATTTAATTTAATTACGCTTACGTTTTCCCTGAAATATTCCCTTCGCTAATATTAGGTATTGACTTTTGGAGAAAATTTAATCTTTTACCTAGTGTTTTATCTTCTCTTAACTTTACAGAATCTAAAAATGCTCTGCTATCGAAACTAAAGATACTAAAGTTTTACCTTATGAGCATTTAACTCCTAATCAAAAGAACATCGCTAATGACATCATCCAACGCTTCAAGACAATTTCTTTTGAAGAAAAAGGTATCCTGGGATGCACACACTTAATCACCCACAAGATTGACACTGGTGATTCTCTTCCAATCAAACAAAGATGTTACAGACTGTCTCCTGAAAAACAAAAGGCGTTAATTAATGAAGTTGACAAGATGCTGCGATGGAAGGTCATTGAACAATGCGAAAGTCCTTGGTTATCTCCAGTTCTCATCACTCCGAAGAAGAATGGTGAATGGCGTTTCTGCGTAGACAGCAGGAAGCTTAACTCAGTTACACGTCGTGATGCTTATAGTCTGCCACTAATAAGCGAAATTTTGGACAACTTGAGGAATGCCAAATACTTATCAAGCATCGACATTGCGAAAGCATTTTGGGAGATTCCCTTGAATCCTGCTGATAAGGATAAAACTGCATTTTATGTACCTGGAAGAGGTATGTTTAGATTCAAGGTAATGCCTTTTGGTCTTTCTAACTCACCTGCAACTCTACAAAGATTAATGGATATGCTTTTTACCCCTGAATTTGAGAACAAGGTATTTTGCTATCTGGACGACATCGTTATCATTAGCGAGACTTTTGATGAACACATATCACTCCTCATGAAAGTTCATGAAAAACTTTCATATGCTAATCTGACTATTAACTTTGAGAAGAGTCAATTCTTCAGGAAAGAACTGAAATACCTTGGTTTTCTAGTGGACGAGTACGGTCTACGTGCTGATCCAGATAAAATAAAAGCTATATTAGAATATCCTGTACCTACTTGTAGAAAAGAAGTGCGAAGATTCATAGGCACCTGCAGCTGGTTCAGAAGATTCATTCCAAACTTTAGCACTATTGCCTCTCCACTCAATCAACTAACCTGTTCCGGGAAGAACGCTCCTAAATTTCTTTGGAATTCACAAGCTGCAGCTGCTTTCCAGAAACTTAAAGAAGCTTTGGTAACTGCTCCTGTCCTTGCTTGTCCTAACTTCGAACTACCCTTCTCTGTACATTGTGATGCATCAAACTATGGCATAGGAGCAATGCTTACTCAACATCAAGATGACAAAGAAGTCGTGATTGCTTACATGAGTAAAGCACTAAACAAAAATCAACAGAACTACTCAACTACTGAAAGAGAAACATTAGCTGTAATAACTGCGTTAGAACATTGGCGATGTTACCTAGACAATGGTAAAGAATTTACAATATATACTGACCATGCTGCACTTAAATGGTTTCAGAACTTATCGAATCCATCAGGAAGACTTGCTCGCTGGGACGGACGGACGCTTATCTTGCTTTAACTTTGTCCTGAAACATAAAAAAGGAAAGGATAACGTTGTTCCAGATTTATTATCAAGACATATGAATCAAGAACGTCCTGATACACGAAAAATTTCACCTCAAGGCGTACATACTATTACGATTGAAGAACCACCTGATCGTAAACTTGAGCACTACAACAAGATTTTTCTCGGATGCTCCAATAATCCAGACTCATATCCCAACTACACTATCAGGGATAACAAACTTTACCGCTGCATCCATTCTCCCGATCGTCTAAACGATGACTTTATTTGGAAAGAAGTTCCACTACCTCAAGATAGACATGCAATTATTGAAGTTAACCATGGTTCCCCTTCAGAACTCCATCTTGGTATCTTCAAGACATTCAAGAAAATATCTTTAAAATACTATTGGCCTGGTATGTTTAAGGATATTGCCAATTTAATCTCAACTTGTGAAACCTGCTTAACCTACAAACACCCTAATCATTCTCCCTATGGTCTTATGGGTAAACCTAAACTTTGCTCCAGACCTTTTCAAACTATATCCTTAGATCTTATGGGTCCATTGCCTATGACTCGAAGACGAAATCAGTATATTCTAGTAATTAACTGCAATTTTACTAAATATACTATGATTTTTCCCCTTAAACGTGCTACTTCAGCTAATATTATTAATGTTTTGGAAAATTCAGTTTTTCTAGTTCATGGCATTCCCCAAACTATTATAATGGACAATGCTGTTCAATTTCAGTCGCGAGAATTCCGCTCATTCTTAAATTCTTATAACGTTCCTTTTATTTTTCACACAGCTTTATATTGTCCTCAGGTTAATCCTACGGAGAAGTTTAATAGTACAATTATTACAGCTCTAGCATCTCTAGTAGGAGACGATCATAGATCATGGGACAACCATCTTACTAAAATTCAGTACGCAATGAACAGCGCTACAAATGTAGCTACTGGCTTTACTCCAAACTTTTTAGTCTTTGGTAGGGAAACAATACCTTGTGGTTCCTTCTATACTCCAACTCAGAACCTCGAGGAATTAATATTTATGCCTCGTGATATTTACGCGTCTAATGCTGGTCTCCTCTCATCTATCTTTCACAAAGTTCAAACTAAACTTCACATAGCGCACGCTAAAAATAGCGCTCGCTATGATCTTCGCCGGGCTTTTAAAGAATTTAATGTGGGAGATACTGTTTGGCGTAAAAACCATGTTTTAAGCAATGCCGGCGCATACTTTAATGCTAAACTTGCCCCTAAGTTCATCAAGTGCAAAGTGATAGCTAAACTGTCACCACTAGTCTATGTACTTGAAGACCCTAATGGAGTTAGAGGCAAGTGGCACATCAAAGATGTAAAATCATAAATTTTCTTAACTTTTATTAACTATTAATTTGTATATATGTATAAATATCACCATCATTCTCACCTTATTATTTTTATTTCTTTTAATTTGTTTGTTTGTTTGATGATCCAGTGTTCTTCAACACATCTTGCTTTAGGACCTCGAACTTTCGTTGGTTAATCGTCACTTTTTATTTTTATTTCAGACACATCTCGTTGGTGATGTTGCTGATCTCTGGCTTTAAGCCCTACCGCTCTGGCCGTTCTTAATCTTTACTTAAGTCATAGCGACTAAAGCTTACTTGAGGTATTTCTTTATCTTTATCTTCACTTGGGAGCGGTTGACTACTCCCTTAATAATTTTTTTTCCACGCAGGAGCGGATGACAACTCCTTAAATAAGCCTGAATGTCCTTTCGAAAACACACTTTTAGAGTGGTAGTCATTGAATGTGAACTCCACCCTTATCTGAATGGCAGATGATGAATGTAAGAGATAGTATATCTGATTTTGCCTGGTGATGTCTGTTTTTGCAAAGCTGTGTTTTTATGGTTTATTTTAGAATGTATATATCAAAATTTTTGCTGAGTCAAAAATTTTCCAGGGTCGGGGGAAAATGTAGTGTTATGCTACTTACTTATCATTTTACATTATTTTAAATTCATTTTTCCATTCTGTTTCGATTTTCTGCATTCACTTCAAAACTGGATATTTTACATCACCTTTATTTCCATAGGATCCTGTAACGATTTTAAACCATAAGAACACAATAACAAATCATTTCTACTTCGTATTTTCACATTATCAGCACTTTTAAATTGGTGTCAATGGAGTCTACCTTTTTTCGATCTTTTAGTTAGTTTTCCGTAACTCTACAATTTCGGGCTTTGTGTGGGCAGTTGCGCTACCTTTTTTCCTATATCAGTAATATCTCATTTTCCACTTAAATCTTGCCGTTTTCTTATTACAAGCCTAAAACTAAAATTTGACATGTTTTGACATTTTTGTTTATTTGGTCTCCATAGTAATTATATTCAAATTTGCTACCGATCTGTTGTTCCTATTTCGATAATTCCACATAAATACTCTTTTCTCTTGACCATTTACAAAAAATTTGCGTTTAATTTAAATAATTTTTCCGTTCTCTCTAGAAAGGTATAAAAGCCGAACAATCGGTGAAGAAAGGAGTCTCGCTTCAGTTCTCGAATTGGAAGCATCTCCTAAAGGCCTTATCCCGGGGCCGCACTGCCCCGGGATCCTGCAAGCCTCCACCTACACGTGAAGTCTTCGGCGAAGCCTTCTTCAAGCGCGGAGCCGCACCACTCCGGAATCCTACAAGCCTCCATCTACCTCGGAAGTCGTCGGCAGTCTACTTCAAGCGCGGGGGCCACACTACTCCGGGCGCTACGACTGCTTACTCCAGGCGCCGAGTGCACCTACCGCCGGCGCTACCTTTGGGCGCTGCAACTGCTGACTCTAAGCGTTGAGCGCACCTACTCCAGGCGCTACGTGCGCCGGCTCCGGACGCTGCGTGTGCTGGCTCCAGGCGCTGCGTGCCGTCGCTGCTAAGAAACCTACCTCTACAAGCGCAACCGGCGTGTGCTGGCTTCAGGCGCTGCGTGTCGTCGCTGCTAAGAAACCTACCTCTACAATCGCAACGTGTGTCGCTTCGACTTTTAGGCTCCACTACAACTCTATATTCCCCTATTCTCCTACCTTTATTTTTTTTTGTAATCTAATTGTACTCTCACTTCATTCATCATCATCCTCATTTAATTTTTTATAAAATTGTAAATATCTTTGAATTTTAAATATATTTTTGTTTTTGTTGTATTTTTGTTGTTTTGTTGTTCTTAGGTTAGATTCTTTTTGTTCTTTATTGTCGCTTCACGACAACTTCGGATAATCCTATGACATTCCAGCGCAACTTGTCTATCTCTTCTTCCAGCTCCAGGATCTTCTCGTTAGTCCTCAGGGTGCGTGCGTTAATGCACTTAATTCCTTGCTATTAAAATGTATCGTATACCTATTATCGTCAATGCGTTGCTAGCGATAAGTTTTGCCAGCAACACAAATTTCAACTGTTCGTTGCGGTGAAATTTTTTAGGCCATAGCCTTACAAGCCGAGCCATTCGTGCTACAACTATACCTACTACTAATATAACTACAGCATGGCTCTACCACGTAAGAAAAAAATTGACGTTGAAAATTTAAGTATTTTTAGAAGCAACTTTGCAATTATTTTCTATTGAGTTAATTTTTGTGGAATCGTGTTTTGCAAACCGCCACCTGAAATACGTACATTTTTTTCGATAATGACGTGAAATTACAAAACGATCCCCATGCATTTCAATGTGGCTCTATTCAGCCTCTTAATATGAACATACCTCGGGATGCAGACATTTTAAAAGTTTTCATGCGAAGATAATGGAAGATATAATATTATATTATTACTGTCCCGTGTGAGGTAACCTTTATACTTATATACATATTCTCATCATATTTTTATGGTTGGTTAGAAAAATTATATCTAAATGCAAACTTTCACAGGGTAAATTTTTTTTTCTATTTTTACCCAGCAAGTAGTAAAGCAACTACAATCCCATCAGTAAGTGGTTATGTAGTCTAAGATGGTGAATTGCACTGACTTAACAAAAACCTATTCACTCTTGCCTAATAGTACTAGGTAAGTATTATTTGCGACCTATTCGTGTGTGTGTGTGTGTGTGTGTGTGTGTGTGTGTGTGTGTGTGTGTGTGTGTGTGTGTGTGTGTGTGTGTGTGTGTGTGTGTGTATGTGTGAAGAAAAGCGTATGAGAATACGTGAAGAGGAATAAAGGTTGAGTACTAATTCGCTTACCTGTACGAGGTTGCCACTCGAGGACCTTTCTTCCTATTTTTTATCTGTTTTCCAAATTATATAGCCAGCCCATTGCCATTTCACTGTAATATTCCGTTGGGCTATGTCAGTTACTCTGGTGCTAATGCAAATATCTTCATTTCTAACTTTATCACGTAGAGAAACCCCTCTCCAATTTAAAATTTTTATATTTTTAGATGATAGTTTGTCTAACATAAAAAAAAACCATAAACCCAAGAATGTCTTTATATAGTTATTTATACTTAGGTAACCACCATTCTTTTATTTATTTAAATTGTTTGATTTAATTTGATAACAGTGTACCTAAATGTAAGTATCTGTATCTTTATTTCCCTCCCCAATAATATTTTATAAAGTCATACTCATAAAAACAGCGTTTTATTGTAATACATAATTATAAAATTCAGTATCAACTAATAAATAAAAATATGCAATAATAAAATTACATAGGTATTAAAAACTATCGAAACCTAAGTAACGAGACCATGTTCGTCGTTCCACATCTAAATTATATAAAAATACATTTTTCAATTTCACTAATCAACGTCGCCTCGAAAATTTCTTCTTCTTTGGGCACTTTTAAAATTCATTTATTTAGAAAATAATATTTACAGTTACCAGTGTACAGATATTAACTAAATTAAGTATTTCTAGTCATAAAAATATTTATAATTGAGTATAAACTTTTAAAAAACTAATATATATTTGAACGAAGTCGCTCCAACACCGACGTGCAGTCCACCCTCGACGATGTCCGAAAACGGACTGTCACAGAGCTTACATGGCGACGGAGCATGCGCACTCACGTAAATATATTCAATTTTAGGGAAAAATGATATGTTCTCTTATAAAACGGGTAATAAAAATAAAACTCTCAATTAGAAATATTAATATTTTTAAGACCTTTTTTTTAGTGTAAGAACTATTTAAAAAGCTTGTGCCGTTTTGGAGAAATTTTGCAAAATATGACAAAGATAGGTACTCTTTGGGGATTTTTTTTCTAATAAGGGGTTGACAAAAATACAATTTTGTTAAATTAAAAACATTTACCAAATCCTCTTCTGTTACCCTGTATTTTTCTTTGTGGATTAAATGAACAGTTATTGAGATTTTTTTTATTAAATATCCAAGATTTAGGCATTTCAACGACTGTTAAGGCCTTAATTAATTAATACCATTACATTGGTCGGCACCAAAAGTTCACTGATGAATATTACACTCGCCGTAAATTGCCTAATAACTAATAATTGCCACGCCTGGCAGGTGGCTAGGCAACTGCAATTTTTTATAATTTTGAGTGTTATCTGGAAGATGCTGCTGCCCATCTCCTGGCTTGTTTCCCTTTGTAGACACCCACGAAATGAAATGGGGTAGTGAATATTCTTACACCGCCACTACACGGTCAATAGAGCGTTTTAAAAATAAATGTGTATACGCAGTATAAATCTGGACTAATCAAAATAACAAAAATTAACTCAAACGTTTATCGAGCACATAAACTATAAGTAGATATTTATATATATGATTTAGCCGTAAAATACTAAGTGACCTATTAATTGCGTAATATAAAAGACTTTATATCGTTTAAGCTTGGGTTATAAGACGTTTATGTCTCCATTAATTATCGGTTCCTATATTCTTGATATATTTTGAAATAAGTTTATCTTATTTAGTGCTTGATAAACGATAAGGAAACTTATTCATAGATAAAAAATTGTAGCTTTTATCTCAAAGTTACAGCCCAAATACGTCTCAGTGGTACAAGTCACAAGCACTAGTTTAGAGAGAGTTTCAAACTCTCACACAGGGAAGAGTTTGCGTAATTGTAGACTTGACCTTGAACATGTATAGTTGTAGCGCGAAAGGGTCGGCTCGACCGGGAAAGGACCACGCTCTCACAGAATACCAGCGTAAAATAGCAGCGTAACGCTACTGTGTTTCGTATGGTGAGTGTAGAGAACCGGGGACCCTTTTTACTGTAAACGAGGCATTCGATCTTAGGCTGAGATCTATAGACCGTACTTTGACTTTGCTCAGACATTACTTTCGATGTCGATGTCGGTATTTATAGAGCTAACTTCGAAGTCGTGCTGAGTGCGCGCTTAGCGATATCGACGACTTACGTAAAACTCAGGATATTATT